CAACTCCTGATATTCTGTGTGATTCTGTGATTCAGAGACAACCACGCCAGATTTCTATAGAAAAAGCTCAAATCCCCAGTGAAGACCTAGACAAGAGTCCTAGGATGGAGTTGTCAGTGTTTGCCATCTCTGGTCTTCCCTGAGCTACTCAGCATTATCTTAGGCAGGCATTATCCAGGCATCTGGAGACTAATGGTGGGGAGAGGAACAGGCACTCATCAGTCTTGTGATAGGGGGATAAACATGCTATGAGAAGGTGTAAAACTCCAGTTCTCTGGCTATGATGTGCAGTACATCTCAGCACCCTGGGAAGTGTGAGGGGAAATACAGTAGCAAAGATCTGACAATCTTTCCAGCCTGTGAAATCTGTTTAATGGTCTATTTTCTGAGGCATGTGGAGTTCTGCTTATGGTTTTGTATTTGATTGTGGAGCACGGTCTACATCGTGCTTTGTTCTCAACTAACAGCATTGTCTCGCTCGCAGGAAATTGTCACCATCGTGGTGTTCGGGGTTGAATACTTCGTGAGGATCTGGGCGGCTGGCTGCTGCTGCCGATACCGGGGCTGGAGGGGAAGGTTAAAATTTGCCCGCAAGCCTTTCTGCGTCATCGGTAAGACCTACTTCCCTGCATGGGATTTCCCAAACCAAAATGGCCTTTGCAAGCCCTTGCTTGCACAGTGCTCCACTTTCTGGCATGCATTTTGGAGATTGATCTTCATCTGCTTCATGGTCACATAGAGAAAGAGCACAAAGGCTTCTGCTTGAAGCCCCCACTGTTTTCTGCAGGGCTGGGAGCCATCCTGTTGTTCTGTGCACCCCAGGCATTGCCAGCAGCTGCAGAAAGGGGGTTTGGGTGGAAAAAGCTGAGCATAGGAACTGGGATCCCATGATCCTGTGTCCAACTTCAATGCAGAATTGCTCACGAATCATTGAAATGCTCTGTGTCTCACTTTGCTTCCTCTGGTGCTGATGAGCTGCCTCTCAAGGGAGTTATGAGACTTAATTAATCCTTGTTTGTAAAGTACTCTCTGAACCTCTTGTGTAAGAGGACGTCTGTGCACAGCGGTTGTGTTTAACGGGGTAAGGAGTGGGCAGAAGGGCTGTGCCATTCGCTGTGGAGCTGCTTTCAAATGTCCAGGGGCTGGCAATGGCCATATGCAAGATTTTAGCTTATTCCACAGGAAAGCACTCCTATGACATTTGCATAGAAAACCAGGGAGGAGGGAGGTTTTCAGGATTTAGGATTTCTTTCTTGGCCTTTCTTTGTCCGTGAGCAACCTGGGATTGCCATGGTGGACCTCTAGATTTTCACTCCTCTTTTAGATGAGGGAATTCATACCTCTGGACAGCTCTGTCACAGGCTGCTGCGGTGATTAAAAAGAGCCTGCATTTTGCAAGGATTGCATGCGATTTAGCAGTGTTAACACTGAATCATATCAGCATTCAGGCTCTGTAGTATCTGATACATTTTTGATGGGAAGAGTGAGTGTAGAAAAAGAAACCGGGATGTTTCCATCAGCTGTGCAGTGGCTCCTTCCATCCAGGTTAAGATTCCTGTTGTGTCCTTCCAGGGCAAGATACAACCGATACAAGACCCCTTTCTTTCATGCACAGCCTTCTGCTGCTGGTGGCAGGAGCACTGCCATCCCATTTTGCAGCATTTCCTCAGCTCTCAATGCGCTCTCTTCACACAGACATCATGGTGCTGATCGCGTCCATCGCCGTGCTGGCGGCAGGGTCCCAAGGGAATGTCTTTGCCACCTCAGCACTCAGGAGTTTGAGGTTCCTGCAGATCCTGCGAATGATCCGCATGGACCGGCGGGGTGGCACCTGGAAGCTGCTGGGCTCTGTGGTCTACGCACACAGTAAGGTGAGCAAGTCCCAAGCAAGGGCATTGAGTTGCTCTTCATGTTTCTCCCTACCAGAGACACTGCTTTGGTTCAGTTCTCCACCCCAAACATCTCCCAGCCCTGGGGAGATGGGAAAGACACCATAGAGTGACATGGGGAGCAATGCACAGACGTGGTTGTGGTGCTGGGTTTCTCTTTCCAGCGTGAGATCATGGAGCAGGCACAGAACCTGTCCCTGGTGTAAGGCACTTTGGGGTTTCTCCAGTTTG